AAGTCAAGTGAAGATGATCCGTTATTGTTTTCGGTGTCTTAATACGATCTTTCAACAACAATTATGTCACTTATAAAAAAGAAAAGCGGAATGTAATAACAATTATCTACATGTATACATATCGTGTATCTAGCAGACATATTTTTATAAATGCTTTTAACAAAAATGATACAACACTTGTGTGCTGCTACCGTGTGATAAGATATTTCTTTCTCGTGCGAAATTCGCCACCATATATTTTAATGTTATGCGCTTCAAGAAAAAGATACAGAAATGCAATGATCAAGAATTATATCAAACATATGAGAGTATTATAATGTAGATTATCGGATAAGATAAACTACTTGTATGTTATAATAGAAATGCAATTAAAAGAAACGATAAGTACGGAAGAATTACGGAATTATATTGTAAATGTCTGAAAACAAAAATATAGAGTAAACCAAAGAGAGGAGTTCTTAGAAGACAAAAAAAACCAACGAGAATTCAGTGGCTGATTCAGGATTTCGATAAGGGAGTGGCGGTTTATAAGAATCAGTGGAAAGTAGTATTATTTTTTAGGAGAGAAACGTAGTGTTCTACCTATTTTCGAGGGAGTGACGGTCGCCGGTTCGCCTCCACGAGTATTGAAAACTTCATAAAAACGCCTTTCGTTGGGATTTTATAATGTACTCAATACATATGAAATGCGTATTAGAGTCCCTGAGAAATTATAGAAAACCTAGGATCCTTGTATGTACTCTATATTACTGACTTTTGTAATAAAACGAAGCGTTGATCTATGTATAGATATTAGATAAAACATGTGGAATGTCTACTTACACATTTGTTTTTTGTTGTATAAAATAAAGTGAATAGAAGAAGATTATCGAGCGTTTTGTCAATAAACCGATATGAAAGCGTAATTGACTATGTGCTTTTATGAACAGCTAATAGAGTATGAGAAGAGAGAGGGAGAGAGAGAAGAAAAATGCTGATCAAATATGTAATGGAAAATAAATATTGCTCATTACATATGAACCAATGAATAAACAGAACAAAATAAAAAAAAATAATTTTTATCCAATAGAAAAACAATGATAAGGACTCACTAACTTCGAAAGAACTAAGTAGTTTCGATGTTCTAGAAAGATTTTTTTATAAGAAAAAGACTACAGTCAAAAAGCAGAGTTTCCTAATATTGAAAAATAATCTTCACAGTTTCAAAAGAGAAAAAATGCTGTTAAATGTATTTCAAATATAACATTACAAGAATACTAATTGATTGTTTTTCTTTACATAAAAAACAAATAATATTAGTTCTTTTATATCTATAAATCAGTATTTTTTTGAAGAATGAATAATCCTATTATGAAAATTCAAAATTAACATCGAAGCTAGCGCTACATATCTAAACTCATTTTGATAGTGGAGAAAATAGAATATGAATCAGAAAGAAAATGATATACGACGACGAAGATGATGATGAGGAATGTTTACCAATACCACGACGATGGTAAATAATATTATTATTATTATGTATATTCTTTGAAATTCTCAATATGATTTAGTTCATTAATTGGTCGAAATCAATTAACAACAAATGATTTCTCACCGGATAGTGAAATACCTCCTTCTGATCGACGACAATCACGTTTATCATTTAATAATTCATTTAGTGCTGATAGTGGCATTGATGAACATATTCCAACACCTAAACAATTGATTGAGTTATATGAAAAAACAATTGAACTAGCAGCAAAGAATAAAATTAATGTAAACAATGCATTTCAACTTTCATTTGTTGAACGGCTACCTGAAATTTTAAATATCATAGGATTTGATAATAAAATACAATTTAATAATAATCATGATAATGATGGACCTAATTTTATTAAGGTTGGATCTGTTATTGATACAAGGTAGAGAAGAAAAATTCTAAATATCTATTTATTAGTTTTTTTAGTGCTAAGATTTACGGTTTACGTGTTGATGCTTTACATAATGAAACACAAATATTTAGTGGAAGTATTCAATCTCAAGAAGAAGACGAAGAAGAAGAGGAACCAATGGATATTGATTCTAATCAGTTAAAAACAATGAAAAAAGCAACTCAACAAGGTAGACGTAGATCAAATTCATATATAGTTCATTCATAAAAGACGTTAAGAAAAAAAATCAGACACATAATAAAATTGTTAAACTGTTGTTTTTATCATTCTAACGAATGTATTCCGTGCCTAGATTAAATACGTGTTTTTTTGAATAGTCTAACGAGGTAATCACTTGAGGTATCCAAAAGTAAGAATATATAGACTAGAAAAGGTCTAAGAGGATATGGCCGCTGAACACAGTTTTTACGAATATTATTGTACGCATAGAAATTTTCAAAACATTGTACCTCGAAAATGCTTAGCCCAAAAATTTTGAAACTTTGTGGATGAGTTACTGTGGTTAAGGCCTTGATTTCATGGGAGAAATGCTATCCTATAGGAAAATTCTAGTAAAAAGCCGATGTGTCAACTTGCACCCATATCGTCTTAAACTTTTTCTAGTCTATCTATTCCCTACTTCTAGACAAAATTTGAGTGGAAAAGCTTTTTGACACTTTGGATGATTCCCTCGTAAGAAACAACGGTTAACCCTAATTTGATCGAAACATAAAAATGTCGAAATATAAAAATATCGAAAATCAAAATATCGAATACGAAAGTGAGGGTGTATGCGGTAATATAATATTGTGGGTGAGAGCGAAAGGTGTTTTTACTTTTGTTTTCTTTCATTCTCAATATTTTTGCTTTTCTAATTATAGAGCATTTGGCTTTTCGATATTTGTATTTTCGATATTTTGATCTTTCGACATTTTTATTTTCAAGGTTATTAGGGGGAATCAATACAGTAAAACGATTGAATTTTTTTTGTTAGGACTTCTTTTATGAATAATCCCATGTTGTTTCAGATTTAACAACAATATCAATTCCATATGAATTTAATTTTTATCCATTACAACCATCGAATATGTGCAAATGGCCAGGTGGAGTTGGATCCGAAACACTTTATGCTGAAATGGTTTCATATACTATGTATTCATCAAGTGATTTTCCTGTTGTTAATGGTTTCGTTAATTTCGATAGTCGAATTAATATGGAATATGTTGATAATGAAAGTATACTTGATGTAACTGCTGAGATTATGTGTGATTTAATTCCATTGAGAGAAATTATTAAAGAATATGAAGGAGAAAATCATTTTCTTGGTAAAGATTTAAGAAGAAAAAGACAAAATGAATTCTTTTTTTTTATCGAAATATAGGATGTCAAATATTAAGAGAATTTACGTTTAATGAAGAATCAACAGAATCATATATTGAAACAATCGATGAATGTTCAATGTTTGATAATTTAAGTAACGAAGATGACCAAAATATTTTAAGTGATTTACGTGATGAAGGAGCAAGTTTTCATTATCAAGATTTACAATCAACTTATGTAACAAAAAAAAAGCCATTCTTTTATTCTCATTTGAATAACCATTATTCATTATCTTGTAGGTCGGTCCACCGATAATACCATCAATGGATATGACATTACTACCAAACAAACTGTCATTTGTCGATTCTGTACCTAGCCTACTTCGTGAAAAGGTACATTCATATCTTTCATTAAAACATTTTCTTCTTCTTCAATTTTCAAAAGACTGATCCATCTGATTATACCTATTTTGATGCAACGAAACTTAAATTATTCGCTGGACCGTATGTATGGAAATATATTAATCTTCTACCAGATCTAATTAAACCATCATTACCAACTACTCAAAATACATCAATAAATAATAATCGTTTGGCAAAAACTTCTATTCATCCATTATATAAAACAAGACGAAATTTTAAATTAGATTTATCTAATCATGATAAACAACGATCAGTTAATGAACTAATGGCAATTAATCCATTGAGTAAATCAATAATAAAAAAACAAAAACGAACAATACTTACAAATATATCTCAACATAATCATCAATTACGACTTTCACGAAGTTTCTGTTCTATAAATGAACTAATGCGTTCAAATAATATTCCGGAATTAATTTTTGATGATAAAATACAAAATTTATTAAATACTTCTGATCCATATCCAATACATGATGATAATTATATAGCTGATTGTAATGATGAACCTTTTGATTATAATTTTACTCGTCCAGTTCATTATGATAGAATAGAATTTGATCGAAATTTTACTAAAATTGATACAAAAAAAACTTCAACATCAATTAATAGATGAATATAATACTGAATCTTCCAAATCTTCATCATTACCAATAACATTTTCAACATTATGCGTTAATCTTCTCGATAAAAATAGTCTTTCAATAGAAAAAAATGAACTTATATCAGCATTTTATTGTATGTTAAATAATTGTAATAAAAATAATTTATTTATGAAAAATAATATTCAACAAGATGATTTAATTATACAAAAACAATCATTTGATAATTCATTTCAACTACCTTATTCCCATATGATACTTTAATCTTTTTTCTTTTTTTTTTGTGTGTTATACAGTGCATGAATTTTCCAAGTTTTTTGATTATTTAATATATAAATTTAAAGTAAACGAGAAAATAACATGTTTGAGTTTGATGCTTGTCTCGAATCGAGATTTACATGGATACTCTATTCGATATAATACGTATGAGATGGTTTTCTTTTGAAAAATTTAATATCGTATAACATTTTTTTTCGACAACAAGCTAGCGGACTCTTTCGTAGTCAAATCTTTGAATTGGTTGTTATCATCAATAGAAAAAAAAAGTATGGACAAGCAAGTAACTCTATTTATTTTATTCATTTCGTAAGACTAATCGTTTGGATTTCTTAACTAAAATTCCTTAATTGATTTATTATGCCTCGTACATACGAAGAAGAATTAAAATATATTGAACGTATTAATGGACATTGTTGGCGTATTAAAAAAGGTTTTGTACCTAATATGAATGTAAGTACATATATTTTTCTTTTCGAAAAAAATTTTGTAATATTTATTTAGGTTGAAGGAATTTTTTATGTTAATAATCATTTGGAAAAATTAATGTTTGAAGAACTAGAAAATTCAACGAAATTCGGTGGTATTGGTGGTTTTCTTCCTGGTATGAAACAAATTGCTAATGTTGCAGCATTACCAGGAATTGTTGGCGTATGTTTTCTTCATGATTTAAATTTATATACATTTCTTAAATATTGTTTTCTGTTTCTCTAGAGATCTGTTGGTTTACCTGATGTTCATTCAGGTTATGGTTTTGCTATCGGTAATATGGCTGCTTTTGATTATAATGATCCAAAAGCTATTGTATCACCTGGTGGTGTTGGTTTTGATATAAATTGTGGTGTACGTCTTCTACGAACAAATCTCACTGAAAAAGATGTACAACCCATGAAAGAACAATTAGCACAAGCAATGTTTGATCATATACCAGTCGGTGTTGGATCTAAAGGTGTTATACCAATGAATGCAAAGTATAGTTTACGACAGAATAAAGTGTTGTTTTGTTTTTCATATACGAAAGTTTTGTTATGAATTTAGAGATCTTGAAGAAGCACTTGAAATGGGTATGGATTGGTCATTGCGTGAAGGATATTCATGGGCAGAAGATAAAGAACATTGTGAAGAATATGGAAGAATGTTACAAGCCGATCCAACAAAAGTTTCTCAACGTGCAAAAAAACGTGGTTTACCACAGGTAACACATTAAAACTCAATAGAGCATTTCATTTTGTTTTTCTAACTGCAAAGTATTGTAGTTTGCTACTTCTTCTGATTAACAGTAGACTTCACTATATCATATGATATGTTATGCTAGTTATTATATGTATTTAATGCTCATCATAAAATTACTTAAGAGATATAAAGTCTTCAATTTCTCTATGTTTTTAATCGATCTTATTAGCTATTCTTAAAAACACATTAAGGGTGCTCCAGATGTTCTGAGAAAATTTTAAAATTTATTGTTCTGACACATAATAAAAGCAAACTCTTCCGAACTTTCAGAGATTAGTATACATATATAGTACTACAAAGCTTGATGTCTATAGCTTTTACTATAAATGAGTACATGAAAAAACATTATCATTCACTATTTTTTCGATTTTCCAACAACATACATTCATATAATGGAATGTAATAATTAGAAAACAATTACTATTTCCAGGGTTTATTTTATTAACGAATTTAAGAGAAAAGCAAATTGTTTTTTTACCCCCGCATGCTCGTTTTTGCACGTAACAATTCGATGTATATAATTTATCTTTTTTTAAAATTATTGTATTAACAAGTAATAATCAAGATGATAATGTTTTTTCATGTACTGATTTATAGTAAAAGCTATAGACATCAAACTTTGTAGTACTACATATGTATACTAGCCTCTGAAAATTCGGACGAGTTTGCTTTTATTATGTGTTAGAACAATAAATTTTAAAATTTCCTCAGAACTTCTCAAGCACTCTTTATAGAAAACACTAAAAAATGGGTAATTTGACGGAAAAATAAAAAATTAACTATATGTTCTATTTTGTAACTTTTCCAATAATACATTCAAGTTAAGATATAAGAGATAAGTTAGAACAAAAACAGATGTATTTTTTTATATTTAAATCTAATTAAAGTTTTGATAAAAACTATACTACCGTTTTTTCTAAAGTCACACCATGCAAATAGAAAAAACATAGATGAAAATAGTCTTAAGTTAGTAAAATTCGATTAATACATGCGCTATATATATATTTTGATTTAGTTGGGAACACTTGGTGCTGGTAATCATTATGCTGAAATTCAAGTTGTTGATGAAATTTATGATCGTTTTGCTGCTGGTAAAATGGGTATTGATTTTAAAGGACAAGTATGTGTTATGATTCATTGTGGAAGTCGTGGTCTTGGTCATCAAGTAGCTACTGGTAAGAACAAATTAATTTCAATTTTTTTAGAAAAAACAAGCATAATAAAATTTTAAATCTATAATAGATGCTCTTGTTGCTATGGAAAAAGCTATGAAACGTGATCAAATTCAGACAAATGATCGACAATTAGCTTGTGCTTTAATTCAATCTCCTGAAGGTCAAGATTATTTAAAAGGAATGTATGCAGCTGCAAATTATGCATGGGTTAATCGTTCTTCAATGACTTTTCTTGCACGACAAGTGAGTGAATGAATGCGAAAGAAAGTATTTTATCTTCATAAAAAATTTGTATTTATAGGCATTTGCACGATGTTTCAATTCAGCACCTGATGATCTTGATATGCATTTAATCTATGATGTATCACATAATATCGCTAAAGTAGAAGAACATGTTATGAGTGATGGTAAACAAAAAACTTTATTAGTACATCGAAAAGGTGCAACAAGAGCTTTTCCACCTCATCATCCACTTATTCCAGTTGATTATCAAATTACAGGACAACCTGTACTCATCGGAGGTAAAAATAAATGTATGTAATAATGATTTTTCTTAAAAATAGATCTTTAGGTACAATGGGTACATGTAGTTATGTTTTAACTGGAACTGAACAAGGTATGAAAGAAACATTTGGTTCAACTTGTCATGGAGCAGTAAGTTATGCTTTTTATTTTTCTATTTAAACAAAAACTATTTTTATCTAGGGTCGAGCTTTATCCCGTGCTAAATCTCGACGAAATCTTAATTGGTATGAAGTATTAGATGAATTAAAAGAAAAAGGTATTGCTATTCGTGTTGCATCACCAAAACTTGTTCAAGAAGAAGTCTGTTTTTTTTTTCTTTCTAAAACTATCATTTTTATCCGATTTGTTCTATTCTTAGGCACCTGATTCATATAAAAATGTAACCGATGTTGTTGAAACATGTCATGCAGCTGGTATTAGTAAATTAGCTGTTAAATTGAGACCGATAGCCGTTATTAAAGGATAAAAATCTTTTTTTTTTGCTTATTTTATTCACGCAGTACGAGATCAATGTACAGTGATCAATGTACACATTGTTTTTTCTTTGCTGTTATATTGTTTTTATTTAGGTGATGTTTTCGAACAACTTATTATACTTGAAATATATATAATCAAGGCTAAAAAATAAAACTAAAAATTTTAACGTTTTTCATTTCTATTCAGTTCATATATATTCCTGAACAATATTTTAATATCGAACAAAAAAAAAGTAAACTCTGACCTACTTAAAATAACCTTCTATATAAATTGAAATCGGTCAATAATGCACTTGTTGTCATCTTTACTGTAAAAACACAAAAACAGATAAGATAATACAGAATATATGAAACGAGAGACTACTATTATCATAATGATAGAACATAAAATTCTGTATATGTCATGAAGAATTAAAACATCTGAATTCGTCATCATGACTTCATGTTTATTCTAAAAAATATAAATAGATGAGTTCATCCGATGAGATGACATACATATCAAAAAATGATAAACGACGAGCAAACTTCTTTACTTCACTCTAATAAAAAATCGTATCACCCTGGTTTTACAATTTGGCGTAGATGGCATGTTCGCTTTGCTGCTGTTGCTATTTTTATGTCAATAATTAATGTTCTATTTGCTAGTGGACAATCAATTGGTTTAGTATTATTTCTTGGAAGTTTTAATGGACTTACAGGAGTATATTTTGTTCTTTTCTTTTGTTCACTTTCATTTACAATAGTATTCAGTTTATTATCAGTATGGTTTGGTTTTAAAAAACAAATAACACGTTCAATGGTTGCATTTCGTTGGATAAAATTCATGCTTTTAGTTGGTGTTTTTGATGCTGCTAATGGTTTTTTAATCGTATTTAGCTCACATGGTAGTCGTGTACCACCAGCATTATCATCAATTCTTATTCAGATAATAATTCCATTTACATTTATTTTTTCAAAAATACTTTTACCGAAAACATATCATTGGCGTCATATATTAAGTGTATCTGTTGTATTAGTTGGTATTGCATTTAGTCTTATACCAACATTTAAACGTATGCATGATGGTACAACACAAACAGAATTAAAAGATGGTTGGTATTGGCCATTTATATTTATATTCGGATGTATACCTGGTGCTTTAATGAATATTATTCAAGAACAATTACAAATGAAATATACTCAAGAAGCAAGAGAAAATCAAAGAACAATTACAAGATTTTCAGTTATGTATTTTCAAGCTGTTGAATCAACATTTCAATTTGCTACAATTGCATTATGTTTTGCACTTGATTTAGTACCAAATTTTGGTACATCAAAAGATATTACGTCATTTTGGAGTTCATTTTCAAAGGGTTTTAAATGTTTTTTTAATGATAGTAGTCTTGGTAGTGATAATCGTTGTAATTATGCAGGTGGTACAGGTGCTTTATTTATTATATCATATTTAGGAACATATATAACAAGTACATTTCTTACTGATCATGTATCTGCAAATTGGTTATCAATTTTATCATCGATTTCACCATTAATATCAACATCATTTTGGTTTATTTTTCCTGCAATTAATAAATGGGCTGGTGTAGGAGATATGACTGGTTGGGATATTGGATTTAGTCTTGGTGCTTTACCAATTATTTTAATTGGAATGTTTTTCTATCGAGGTGGAGGAACAGATAGAAAAACAGAGGAAAACGATCATTTTATCGATGAACATCCTGTAGAATTGTTTTGGTAGATTAATTTTTTTTTATATAAATAAAAATAAAAAATCGATGATTTAAATAGTTAATAATAACTAAAATTTATTGTTCTATTGTTTACAAATATTGTGTGATATATGAGTATCCATTTGACAGAAGAGTATTGAATTTAATACTCATTTTTTTAGAGATCAATAGGCTCTATTTTAAATTGAATCTAAAGAACTGTCTTGTAGACTTTTATCGATTTCTATCAATCACATTTCCGAATACTAACAATATCTGTTTTGTTATTGAGATGCATTCTCTTTGAAAAACAAACTTTGAACAGACAACTCAACTTTAAAAACCCGAACCAGTAATACAGACCAGCTATTTCTGTTGAATATTCAACCTCTAATATTGATATTTACATTCTTGTTTAAAAATAAAACAATTTAACGTACTTTATAACGTACAGAATTTTTTAGTTAACTCATCAGTATATATGAATATCGAATGATAGTTCTTTTTACGATATCGACTTATACTGTCACGTATGATTCTAGATAAAAATCGTATCATTAAAAAACCTTCTTAGATAATGAATCTAATACATCAGAATGAAATTAGCTACTAAGATTTTAAAACACCCACACCCACCCTCAAGATTCGTATTTCAATATCGAACTATTTCAAAAATACTAAACCATTGTTAAAAGACTACTGAATGATATTGAGTTTTTTTAAGGTCTTAAAAATACTCTTTTATCGATGAATAGATACAAAATTAAAAAAAATAATTTGTTATTTATTTTAATCAAAACATCTTTTTTATACAATAAACCTATAAACAATAACCACAGCTGTTCATTGTTCTATGATTGGTTAATGCCGCCCTTGTAGTCGTATATGAAAGGAGGCTACCAAGTGGTAACTATTGTATTGGATAAGAAATCGAGACAAAAACATATTTCGTCGTTGATTTAATTGTCATTTACTTATTTGTTATATTTCATCGAATATTTAAAACAAAACTATGTCGTCTACTAACGAAACGAAAGATTCATCTATTAATAATAAAGGTTCAATTGAAGGTAAACAAAGCCCTTCTGATGGTGTTGATACCGGTTCAAAAAAAGCCGATACAGAAACTGGTCGACGAGCAAGTTCACATGAAGATACAGGTGTTGAAAAACTTGTTTCATCAGGTGGTTCAGGTGGAATACAAGTCCGTGATGGACAAGGTTATGAACATTATGCTCAGCATTAACGCAAGCAGAACATTTAAAACATTTATTCTCTTCTAGTTGTATACACTCCCACTAGTGTGAATTTTTAGTGTTACTATCTTCACATGAATGATGATTTTTTTATGTAATGATTTGAGATAAAAAAAGAATGAAAAAATCAATAAACATTTATGTATGACTGATGTATTTAAGAAAATAATCTTTCTCATCAAATTTCAAGACATTATCAAATTCATGGTTATATTAATATGCAAGTCTTATCTTATATACTTCGATAGAATTCATTTAAACTAAGTTATGATATTTATTTTCAAAATGATTTAACAAACCAAAAAAAAAACAGAATCCATTTCAATTGACCTTGAGTGACTGATTTACAGTATAATAAGATAATTCAGCATTTTCTTCTGATACTATTCTATTGATCAAATAATGGGAAAGTATTGCATATATATTATTATTCTTTTTTATTTTAGATATATCTGTCCTTTAACTTAGCGTTCTTATGCTTATATATTCTCCTTTTAACTCGTTCTACAAATAGGAAACATTCCAGCTGTGTAAAATAACATTAGCATTAATACTTTTATCTGATGAGTCATATTTTACAGCCTTCAACTATTATCACTCTTCGCTTGATTCCATCATCGCTACTATTATCAATAAAAGACACGAACGTCTCGAGGCCATCGCTATCCATGATGGTTGCACTCAGTCAACAACGAATGCTACATAAAGCAAACAGGTTTGTTTAGTTATACTTGATGATATATACACAAGGGAAAAGAGGAGGGACGAGAATATTATATCAGTCAATGATATTATTCCTGTAAAATAAATCGTTAATGGTAATGTACAGCTGTTGCCTTGAAAACATTCGTTATTCACTTAAGAAAAGAAAATTAAAAGGTGAATATCGAATTTTTTTTTTTCGTAGAGAAAGATGATATCTTTTTTTTTTCTTCTATACGATCATATATTAATAGTCTATGCGATATTTTCAAGCAAAAAAAGAAAAATTGACAAGTAGATACACGCATATAAAAGAGAGCGAGAGAGAAAAAAAATCCCCCCGCAATAGTGATTCTATCAAAATATAGTCGTAATAACCGCAAAATGAAATAATTATTTGATGGTTATTTTTTTGCACTTGGAATATCTGATTCGATGAATTAAATGGTAAGATAAAGAGAATAGAAAGTAATTCTTGTTAACATTTTTTGTCGAATATGTAGAACATATGTGGGAACAAACCTTGAATTCCTATTGATTTTGTTATTTCTAATGAGAATATATTCTAGTCGAATGGCTTCATATGTTGATATGTCCTTGTTCGAATCTTCCCAAAAGCACCGTTTCTGATTCGATAAATTTTATCTATGACAGAAATAGTCGTCAAGTGGAAGAAAAGTATAATTTAGGCTCTAATGGGTGAGAGAATCTTCGCCTACTTCGGAGATAGCTCGCAATCATTGTTGCCACATTTTTTCAAACAATTATCTTTCTTCTTATTTTATTATTATTATTATTAGTATGACATATTTCTTCATATGTATTGATTAGAAAAAACGGTTAGAATGTATCTATGTTTTACCTATTAATATATTTATATGCGTTTAACGGTTAAAACACGTGCCCATATCCCTGGAGAATAATTATAAGATATTAATGTGTAATAATAAATATGAATTTTGTTTTTTTTGTACGAAGAAAAATAATATTTTCAATCACTAAAACAAACACCTGTTTTCTTTTCATTATGTTTTATAATAAACGACGCTGATCGTTACCTATCATATGTTTTTTTTTCTTCTTACTAAATCCAGCTAAGCACAATGATATTGATTCAAAATATTTATTTCTATTGAATCTGTCATTTTATTTAGTGAACCGGAACGTTTTTTCGATTGGAACCATATGCTTTATTTTTTTTCTTATTATCATATTTGGTTTTTTTTTTCTTCATATGAATAGCAAGCGAAAATGTAATGCTTTTATGAGTATTGCTTAACCGGTAAGACTTCGTTGATGACTATTTCTATTTATAATATAGTAAACTGCGTATTTTTAAAATAAGTTTATTTCGTCATGTACCCTTTTTAATATCTCACCATGTTGTCGTTTTTCTTTTTCGACTCGAAAAATCATTCGTTATTTCGCATATAAATTTTTATACTCCACTTATAGAAAAACAAAAAATAACAATTATACTATTTTTCATACGCAAAATACACGTATGTATTTTCATTATTATTTTTTTTGAAATCACCCATTACTTAGATGAAATTTATAATAAATTATCTATTAAATTAACGACCATGAATATTTAAAGCTTAATCAGATGTTGTTATTGTTGTTATCGTTGACTATTTATTCTATGTGGTATTCTCTTGTTTTTGTCACTATCTATCTTGAAATACAAGATAATAAATGAAGTACCATCTATTGTTGTTATTAGTCAAACATACAACATATGCATGCATACTAGCAAAAAAAAACAGACGAACATATATATGCCTGGTATGGCAGTTATGTGTAGATGAGATGATCGCCCACCTTTTTTCTTTCTTACTTGATTTTTTAAGACATCCCACCTATTTTATCAAAGAACGAAAGATTATTTATTTCGTTCTTTATAATTACTGAAAAGACAAATAGAAAAATGTTAATCTATGCATTTTCTTTCTTTAGTAAAAAGAAAAAAAAAGAAGAAAGGAAGAGGCAAAGTTAGTCAAGAAATATTTATTATAACATACCATCAATCTTTTTGTTTCTTTCTTTGACTCACTCGAAAACATACTATATATATGAATAAGCATTTATGACATCTTTAAAATACAATAAATACCCTTCAGACACAGGTTTTTCACTATAAAAAAATCAGTTTTTTCGTGTGTACTTCTTAGTAACTTAGAGATTTGGTGGTTTCTTTTTTTTTTTGTTTTTATATTTAAACGGATAAAAAAGAAAAGTGTAGGTTAAGTTACGTTTTTTTGAAGGATATTAATAGTCTTGATCAATGTATGCATAAAGTCATCTGAAAAACAACTTGTTATTCTCGTATTAAAATAAAGAGAGAAAAAATATTTTTTTAAGTACCAACAACATATTATTGAAACAGGAAAACTGTAAAGAAATGATGTTATTATTGATTTAACTTTTAATGTGAAGGATAAAAGTAATTCATTTATTTATTTTAGGCCGAATTTTATTGGAATGCTTCAATGGTATCAGCAAACAAGTCGTCCATCAACATCATTTAAATTAGTCTGAAAATGGCTATGCATTTAACAGTCGAGCAGTAATGCTCATCGGGCGTTCTCTGCTCATTATTATTACTATTATATTTTGGACGTTTCTATTTGGTGCTATAACAAGTGAAAATTCCGATGAACATCATCATGAACAATTAAAATTAATTGTTGTACCTATTCAATCAACAGCATTATCTGGTTATCAAACTGAATGTCATGAATCTTGTATTACTGATTATTGTTATCAATATGCTTTATTAAATAAAAATTGTACAAAATTAATACGTGATCATTGTGATTGTTGTACTGTATGTCTTCGAAGGGAAAAAGATATATGTGGCGGAAGATTCAATGTTTATGGTATATGTGAACAAGATTTAGTTTGTTATAAATCAAATAAAACAATAACAACAGTAAAAAATCTTCATGAACAAACTGGAATATGTGTTAAAGGTTAATTTATATGATTTTCATAAAAAAACGAAAATTTTTATTATTTTATCTTTTTAGCATGTGTAAAATTTCAATGTTTATCAGTTATTAAAAATAATGAGAAAACTTGTGAATGTATAAATAGACGTATACCATGCGATAAAAATCTTAATTATGATACAAGAGATAATTGCCAAAATCAATCAATATTTCAACAGGAACACGAATTAAGTTCTTTGAAGACTAGTGATGGTAAAAGAAACTTTTTTTTTTAATTTGTTATTATAGAAATGTAATTAACCATAAAGAATCTTCTATTACCCAGTTTGTTTATGGTACAAGATATTTATTTACCATAGTAAACCTTGCGATCTAAATGATCCGGAGTAAACAGTTATCCTAGAATAAATGTATCGATCTGAAAATATATAAATAGAAATCGAATAAAAATATTATGCTAAGAATGATTTATTATATCATAGATAGACACAACAACTATTAAAATGTCGCTTGTAATTTAAGTAATGTAGCATTAATATTGATAAGAAAATACTAACATTTATTAAGATTATCTTATCTAAATATGAAATTTATTTTTTTAGCCAAAGACTCAATTGATTGTTCAAAGATTATTTGTAATACTGCACCGATAAATTCATCAAGTTGTCCATCGGATAGTCATTTTATTGAAGATCATACGTCTCTATTAGGAACATCATCATTGACTCTTTCAAAAACTAATATTTCATCAATTTGTTGTGAACCACGAGGTCAATGTATATGCTCATCTTGTCCAAAAACTATATGTGGAGAAAATTCTATTATGCAAATATATCGTATAGGCAGCCCATATATTCCAGGACAATGTTGTGATAAATTTAATTGCATTACGAGTAGGTGAGATTAGGGGAATATATAGACAATAATAATCATTAGTTTGATTTGTTTGTTTTATTCAATCAAGATTCGGAACAATGTTATCATGATAAAAAAATTTATAATGAGAATGAAACATGGTCAATTGATCAATGTACAACATGTACTTGTCGTGCTGGACGTGTTGATTGTGCTATGATACAATGTCCAACCTATACACATTGTGGATATATGTATAAGCCAGAAAATGAATGTTGTCCAAAATGTGGAGGTTAGTTATGAAAAAGTATTATTTTTTCTCATAAAAACATTATATAATTAGGTTGTTTAAATGATCGTCTAAATGTTCAACATATGAATTCTACTTGGATTGAATCCGATGGTTGTATGCGATGTTGGTGTGAAAATGGTCGATCACGTTGTTTAGCTGAAGGATGTATAGCTCCACCATGTGAAAATCCACGTCAAATTGCTAATGTTTGTTGTCCGGTATGTGATTATGAAGATCAAAATAATTTTGAAAAAAATCTTTCTATCATTCAACCTATATCAAAAACATCAATTTATAAATGTCCAAAATTAGATAATTGTTTACTTGTTTGTGAACATGGTTTAACTAAAGATGAACATGGTTGTTTCCAATGTGCTTGTTCAACTATGTCATGTCCAACACCATTATGTACAATTAAATTTGAAAAAGTATCTAAACAATATTGTTTATGTTCATCACCACCTGGTTTAAATTGTGGCGAATTACATTGTGATAAACATTGTCCATATAGTTATTCAATAAATGAACAAACAGGTTGTTCTTATTGTGCCTGTAATCCATGCCCACAATTAAGTTGTACAAAAAATTGTACTTATGGTTTAAAAAAAAAATGAAGTTGGATGTCCAATATGTGTTTGTAAAAGTAATGTAACTTCAACTACAGCTCTTATCGTACATTCATGGCCTCGACAATGTCAATCGGGTTTATTTTCTTATTCAAATGGTGAAATATGGTTTGATGGTTGTCGACAATGTTTATGTCATAAAGGTGAACAATTATGTGCACTTATATCATGTCCAGCACCGAAATGTTCACAACCTATATTCTTACCAAATCGATGTTGTCCTTCATGTCCAGGTTTGAAATCTTGTTTTTATAAAATTTAAAAATATTATTTTTTTTTTTTTAAGATCCCGGTCTATTACCAGAACCAACTCCATCATCTCAAGTATGTTACGCCAGTCAATATGTAACTGGTGAAGAACTTGAATTTGACAAATGTACAAAATGTATGTGTTTACATAACATTGCATTTTGTAGTATCTCATTATGTCCACCACTTTCTTGTTCATCTCCTATTTATGATTCATCATTATGTTGTCCAATTTGTCCACCATCATCTGAATCATTATCAATAATTGATAATAAATTAAATATTGATGACGATGTATGTATACTTGATAATGGTATGATAAAAAATGCTGGTGAATTATGGACAAATAATGATTGTCAATCATGTTTATGTCCACGTGGTGGTAATGGACAAATCGAATGTTTTTCACAAACATGTAAACAAGATTTACCATGTTCAAATCCTATCCTTAAAAAAGGCCAATGTTGTCCTTTTTGTCTTCCACCAACAGCTGCTGTAGCTGTTTGTATTTTTAATTTTATTCAATATCGTTCGGGTGAACATTGGAATGTTAGTTATGAATAATTTCGATTATTTCATTTTGTAACATATATCTTCTTTTTTTTAATATTTAGGTAAGTGAATGTCATCATTGTGAATGTTTACTTGGAACAATTGTTTGTCATCAATCTAAATGTCCCCAATTAACTTGTACGCAAACAGTGACATTATCTGGTCATTGTTGTCCAATATGTCGAGATCAATTATCTTTTTTCAATAATCAAGACAAACGTATTTTTCAATTGATTTTGTTTTAATTATAATTTTTGTTTTTTTGTATTTCTCTTTAGTTCAAATATCTTCATCCCGTGTTGGCTTTTCAATAAGCATTGTACTCTTAATTATTAGTTTTATTATCATTCTTGTTATTATTATTATTATTCTTATTTATTTTTTATTACATGGAAAATATCGATCTTCATCATCATCATTAAATCAAATATCAAATAGACATCATCATCGTTCGCCGAAACTTGCTCATCAAAAAAATATAATTAATTCCAAATCATCACATTTATCTCCTTATGAATATGATTTAATATTAATGCCAAATGATATGAATAATACGAAAGGTATATTATCATCATCAAGTAATAATCCATTAACATCATTGGAACGTATATCATCACATTCAATTATTGGAACAAATACAACTGGTACAAGTTCATCAAATACAGAACTTGAACCAATTATATGGAATGAAGATGATACAATTATGATTCATGGTAGTACAAGTAGTAATGATGATGATTATGATCATGAAACAATTAGTACTGATAATGAAAAATCTCATCGACAATATCAAATGATAAATGGACCTCCTACTATAATTTATGTTTAATATATTATATTTTTCAAGATGATGATCTTTTTGTATATAGAATATTTCAGATAGTTATGGCGATTTTTTGTTCTATTATAGAAAAAAAAGAAAAAGAAAAGATGAATGATAAATGAAGTGTATATGTTTAAGTTTAAAATTACAGCTTTTATAACATACATATATATATATATATTTATATATATATAAATAATAAATAAATGTTATATTGAATATTCATACATGTTTTCTTTAATTTATCTGAAATGATTGTAATATTATGCTGTTCTTTTGAATAATATTCACTAATATTTATTTTATTTGTAAGAAATATTTTGCTTGAGAAATGTTTTTTGATTCGAGCATTTGTAAAAAAATTCAAATAGATCGATTGTTGATCACCAATATTTTATGCATTGAATTACAATTTGAAACATATTGCACTAACTCTTTGCTTTTATGAAACATGATCTAAAAACGTGAATGTTGAGGTATTTAAGAATAGAGATTTATATCCATTCTCCGCTTCTCTCCATAGACATTTTACTAATTAATCTAACATGAGTATTTTGCGGCTGATTATTAATCTCATAATTAATAAGAGTTAGTAATAGAATACTCGTGGCAGACACGTCTACTAACCTTCATTAACAAATAACGACCGACTGCATAACACTACTGCTAGTAGAAACTCAAGAACTATATGAACGCATGAGTAAAATAATATGTTAGAAATGTATTCCAAAATAATTCGGCCATGTTTCATATTTGAAATTGCTCTAACAGCTTTGTTTTTTCGAAAGATGCACAAAATATATGTATAGATAATAAAGCACTTCTACAGTTTTTTTTGTCAATGTAGAAATATAGATCATTTCATTCTAATTCTTTCCTATTTAGATAATAGAATATATAATATTGATGTATTCATCAATTATTATTAATCTCTTTAGAAGTATTTATCGCCAACTCGAACAATATAGTACAATTATTTGTTTGATAATTTATCTAAGTATGAAATTTCTAATTGTAAATTTTGATTAAATCTAATTATTTTTCAGTAATAATATTATGGTCATACAATAAATTCTATATCAATCGATTATTATACACACGTAAAAAATCTATGCGACATAAAACAGTGCTTATTACTGGAGGTAATGCTGGTATCGGTTATGAAACTGCGAAAGAACTTCTTCGACGAGGTTTGAGTTCTTATTTAATTATATAAACCTAATAATTTTGTATTTATCTAGGTGCACGTGTTATTATTGCTTGTCGTAATATAAGTAAAGGTCTTCAATCATTAACAAAACTTCATTTGGAAACAAAATGTAAACAAGATAGTATTCGATTAATGGAATGTGATCTATCTTCTTTTGAATCTGTTCGAAAATTTGCTAAATTATATAATGCAAAAGAAGATCGTCTTGATGTATTAATTTGTAATGCTGGTCTTATTTATTCACCGAATATTTATACTAAAGATGGATTAAATTCAATTATGCAAACGAATTATCTCGGTCATTTTTTATTAACAAATCTATTATTAGATAAATTAAAGCAATGTCGATCAAGTCGAATTATTAATGTTTCATCAAGTGCACATAAATGTAAGAAGAAAAATGAATCTAGTAATTCATATATTGTCTTATAATTAATAGATCCTCCAACAAATAAAGGAATAACCGCATTAGTTAATTTTAAAAGTGATGCCATATGGGGTTCTTATGGCCCATCTAAAGCATGTCAGATTTTATCATCTTACAAACTTAAACAAGATCTATTAGGTAAAATTTATATCTACTTTTTTCTCTCCATTGAATTGTATTCTAATGATAGATCATGGTGTTGATGTATTTGCATTAAATCCCGGATGGATATGGACTTCATTTCAAGATTCATTGCATCCAGCACTCGGTACATGGCTCTTTGTTATTGTTTATCCGTTGTTAATTATTGCAAAATTTATCTTTGGTAAAACACCATTGACAGGTGCACGTACGACTGTCTATTGTGCTGTTGAACCATCTTTGAAAGATTCATATATTTTGTATTTTGAGTGAGTATATTTCATATTAATTATTAAGTATACATAAATAAGTAGTATATGTTTCTTAAGGAATTGTGCTCCGGCCAAACCTAGCTCATTATGTACGAATAGTGAATCGGCTGAATATTTGTGGAAATTAAGTTGTGAAGCTGTTGGACTGTGATCTGTTTTTTTATCTTTTTACATGTTAAATTATATTTTTCAAATAAAAATAGTGATATGTAATTTGTTACAAATTAAACAGAATTATCATATTCTTTTACAATCATAAACATAGATTTGATGTTTAATAATGTTAGTTCAGCATACACTTCTGGTATTGAATAAGACTCGTTTATATATTCATTAATGATATCACTTCAAGTCAGTGGCGGATCTAGGATTTTGGAAGAGGGGGGAGACAATTTTTTTTGAGTATGGAGGGGCGATCTTGGCTAAAATCTATTTTTTGAGTCCAATCGAAGTGGTGTGAACCTATTTTCTCGTTCATTTTTGCTGTAAAAAATCCCCCTAAATCCGTCACTGCGTCAAGTTATAGTTCAGAGTTATATTAACTTATGATTTGATAGGTGACTACGTTGAGTTGTTTTTTAGCTGAAATAGGACATTAAAGTTATATAATAGAGGTCGATAGTGTCATATCATTTACTTTTCTAGCTATCGATTGGTGAATTGTTATTAGATAATATTTGCTTTTTCTGTATTTATTAATTAGTTATATATTTTCTAGATTTCTATTCTAGAAATTTGAATAAAATCTCATTTTATAATAGATATAAAATAATTCAAAAATGACTGAAGCAGCAACAACAGTAGCAACGATAACTGCATCATCGACAGCATCTTTATCAACGATTGATAATTTATTTTCAATAACTCATCAATTCTTCGATGAGTATCGTATTACTATCTTTGTTCTTACTGGAACAAGTATGACAGGCTTTTTCTCTCTATATATATTATATTCCTATTTACGAATATATTTTCAGTGATGGCAGCATGGTTATATAATAAATTATTTGTGAATTGTAAGTTTAATGCTAGTACACAATCAATGCAAGGTAAAACTGTTATTGTTACTGGTGGTAATAGTGGTATTGGTTATGAAACCGCTAAAGATCTTCTTCAACGAGGTTTGATTTTTTTGTTTTTATTCTAAATTTGAGTTATTTTTAGAGGCTCGAGTAATTATTGTTTGTCGTAATATGGATAAAGGTCGTGAAGCAGTTCGACAATTATGTTCAGAAATTGAATTTAACAAAGAAAATCTTCGACTTATGCAATGTGATTTATGTTCACTTGAATCTGTTCGTAATTTTGCTAAATTATATAATACTGAAGAAGAACGACTTGATGTATTGATTTGTAATGCTGGTCTTGCATGGTCACCAGATATAGTCACAAAAGATGGATTTAATTCTATTATTCAAGCTAATTATCTGGGTCATTTTTTATTAACAAATCTATTATTAGATAAATTAAAAAAATGTCGACCAAGTCGAATTGTTAATGTTTCATCCGGTGCACATAGATGTTTGTATACGAGATAATTTAAATATATAAATTATTTGTTTTTTTTGCATTTAAAAATAGCTATGCGATCTATTGATTGGTCCGATGCATTTACACAATTTAAAACTTTTCGTTTTTGGGGTCCATATCCAGCATCGAAAGCATTTCAAATATTATCATCCTACAAATTAAAACATGATTTACTTGCTAGTATGTACTAATAATTTATCTCTGTTGTCTCATCGTTTTTTTATTTATTTTAGCAGAAGGTATTAATACATTTACATTAAATCCTGGTTGGGTATGGACATCAATTCATTCCGTATTACGAGAAGCTCTTGGATTTTCTGCTGCTCTACTCATCTATCCAATACTACGTATACTTAAAGTTCCCTTTGCTAAAACACCAAAAACAGGTGCACGAACAACAATATATTGTGCAGTTGAACCGACACTTGAACATTCACAAGATCTCTATTTCGAGTATGTATATTTATATGTTTACAAAAAAAATCTATATATTCATTGTAGTAATTGTACTGCTGTCAAACCAAGTTCTTTATGTACTGATGATACATTAGCTAATCAATTATGGAAATTAAGTGCAGAAGCAGTTGGACTTTAAATATTTATGTTTTTTTTGTACTTTTTTTTTACAATAAAATATATATTTTCAAGATAATAATGCGATAATTAAGAATAAAAGTAAAAAGATTTGATTTGAATCATATAACCTATAACTTGAAGCTTGTTCAATATTAAAATGCACGTTACTTTGTCTCAGAAATCGTCAGCTATGGCCAAACGAATATTAATAATAGATAGTTACTTTTGATAGTATGTTCATAATTCATCTCGTTGGAAAAAAATATAACTCTAATCGCTGTAGATCTTATTTTTGAAAAATTCTATGTATATTATGATAATTTCTAGTATAAATTAGAACATGAAATATCTCTTGTTGCTATGCATTCAAATCTTAAATAACTTTTCAATTTGTAATTCATTTATGCTAGTCATTCTTATTATAACCATTATATCATTTAAATATACTTATTTGAGTAAGTTTTTTTTTTCTTAATGTCTACAAATCTTATTCTATACATTTGATATAGATGCACAAGATGTTCCATATGATGGTAATTGTACTTTTACGCATGATTGTGCTAATTGGCGTGAAGGACGTGTAATATGTGATGAAAAAAAAACATGTACTTGTAGACAACCATATAGTACAACTCAAGGCAATGTCTTTTGGGATAGTACAGGTCATCGTTGTGTTTATTGTCCGATTAGATGGTTTCAAAGAGGTTTTGATTGTATCTACTTTTTTGATGATATTTATATTTTTTATATTTTAGAAGCACGTTGTTATTATTTCGAAGATCGCACAACGTCTTGGTCAGATGCGAGACATCGATGTCAAACAGTTTTCAAAGCTGATGTAAAGAAATAAATTATTTGTTTCACTTTTCCTTATATAAAATTGATGTTATTCTAGTTAATTACTTTTAATAGTCCAGATGATTTAGATTGGTTGCGAGTAAATACAATTATTAAATTCATTTTAAAAAATTAAATTCATAAATTTATAGAAACATGGAACAGCAATGACTTTAGAATATATTTTTTCTCATGTAGGAGATTCATATTATCGTCGATATTGGTAGTCTATTCTTCTTTTTTTATTGAATTAAATATAAAATATTTATAGGATAGGTGCAATGAATGAACCATTTGTTAAATGTAAGTCAATAATCATTATACGCTTTAGAAAAAAACATGAAATCCATGAATCTAAGTTGGTCAATTTTCATGGATTGATAATAACGGATTTCAATTTAATCAAAATAGTTCAATGTGGTGTAGACCGGGTGTTAATGGAGTGGTAAATTGTATTCTATCTGATGTAAATAATTTTCATTGTCTTTTATTAGCCATTGACATATAAACAACAACCAACATGGGATGAAAATGGACTACATCAAACTCGTGTTGCTCTTGCTCGGTAATGATCAATGAATAAAATTCGGAGAAAATAAAACTTTTCTAAAATACAGATGGAAAAGTTTATTTTATAACCAACAACCTGTTCTTTGCTTGGATGATGAACAACCAGGTGAACTATTATCACCTGCTTGTCAACGAAGTAAATGATTTCGATGAAATCAATTGAACTACTATTGATTTTTGTTGTTTTTAAGCATCAGCTACTTTTCAAACAAAATGTAACGAAAATAAAGATGTCTGTCAAAATGATGGTATATGTACTGCAGTAACTGAAAAAGATATCATCGCTTGTGATTGTACGGAAACACCATATGGTGGTGCTTATTGTACGGAAAATTGTGGTAATCTATCATCATATTGTAAGTGAATGAAATTGATATTTACATACGATATATTAATTACTTTAGGTCAAAATGGTGGTAATTGTACGAAATCAGGGGATTGTGTGTGCAATTCTTTGTGGACGGGATTACTTTGTGAAACAGCTATAGGTAAATCAGATAGAAAAAAAGATTTTTAAATAATACAGAAGTTTATTTTAGATCCATGTCTATCAAATCCTTGTCAACATAATACAAAATGTTCACAGATGGTACGTTGATAAAATTAAATTATAATTCAATATATTGTAACTATTTATTTTTATATTAGGATAATACAACTAAGTAAGCTTTGAATTGGAATATATATACACATAATTATTTATAGTATGGTGAAAGTACTCATACAATGTAAATAGCATGGTCCATGTTTACGCTGAGAAATTAGACAGTAATACTAACGAAAGGTTTTTGAAAACATATTTTCAATACTTGAAATTAGGGGACAAAGACAAAACGTACTAGGTGTTCGGATTCGACTTTTTTTTACCATTTTCGCCGGGAGTCGTTAAAACATGATGATCAGGGGGACCATAGCTTAAAAAAATACAGGTAAATCGGAGCAAAATGCTGACCAGTATGTAAAATATTTTCAAGAAATCGAGTGACGGTATGGCTGTGGATGTGTACTATGAGAGAAGAATGACATATACACTCACACCCACACCGTCTCTAACACCCCGCTTGTTTTAAACCTCTGTCATTCCGAAGATTTTGTATGTTTTATATGTCGAGAAGTCGCGACGAACATCTTCTCAGGGAAATCGTAAAAAAAAGTTGGTGCGTTATGTCTCTTTCCCGAAATTAGCGGAGTCTTACATGAATAGAAGAGCGCTATATAATCCTAGTGAAGATGGCACTATCATCCCATTAATACATTTTAGTAGAGTGTAAGTGTGAGTCGATCGTCTATTAACCCACATTCATTCTTTATATTTTCAACGTTATTTGAGGTAACCATAAAAATCATATGAATTGTTACAAAATCGATCGAGGAAAATAAATATACATGCTAGGAACTTGAAATATTTACTGCATGACTAAATAATCTTGACAATTCTCGATGTTAATGCATAACATGACATTTAACTTTTTTCTGATCTAAAGCATTGCAATTCAATAGAGAAGACTTCTCTAGTACAGTAGATCTCGGTCTTCTACTATGATCCTCTGAATCTCGAATAAAAACGATTGGAAAAGAATCTCTGTATTGAATTAAAGTTCTTTTCATGTAATCTCAATCGATAATTTTTTAGTTTTATTTGTGATTGTGAAGATTCGGGTTGGACTGGCGACTTATGTGATTCCAGTGAATGTAAAGAAATGATTTTTATAATTTAACTACATTGTAAAAAGAATTTAATTTTTCATAGATCCATGTCCAGCTGAACGTTGTAAGATATTCGAAATATTAATGAATATTATATTAAAATTAATTTAGGTCATAATAATGGTCAATGTAAACTAAATGGCCGAAATAATTTTACTTGTAATTGTTTAAAAACTGGTTTTCAAGGAATGTTTTGTGGTAGATATTTCTATTATATTTCCGATCTATATAAATACAGTTCTATATATATTTAAGAACAAGGTTGTTTAGATACCGATAAACCATGTCAAAATGAAGGATCATGTATAAATAATGCATGTACTTGTAATCCATTGACACAAGGCGATTTTTGTGAAATAATCATCGATAAAGATTCCGTAGAAAGTCAAATAAAAAATGATAAAAATAGTTTAACAATTTGGTTGATTATTAGTATTCTATCGACTGTTAGTATTATTTTCATTATTGGTTTAATATATGGTCGTAAGAAACTTTTCAAATCTGGTCAACAAACAATCGATCATATTGATAATCAAACGCAATCTATGACAACTGAAATAGAAAATTCTGTTTTTTCTGAAAATGATTTATCCAGTCAAAGTTCACAAATTACAAAAATTAAAGAATTATTTCTTTGAATTTAAACGTTTAGATATTTGATTATAAATAAATTGTGCTGATGTTGATGATGATTGAATTTGTGCATAATTTAAATTTTGACCTTGATTTACAACAAAATCTGTAGCAGCCGATGATGCTTTTATATCTAATGCATATTGTTTAGCTGACATTTGATGACGAGCATCACGAGTTTCCGAACGTTGTAAATAGAAATGTGATATCATATGAATAACATTGCCTTTTCCACAATCGAATGTAACAAGAACAGCATCAGATTGATATTTTTGTCCTAAGATTTCTGATCGAATTAATACACGTACTTTGTCTCTATTAACAATTTCAATTGGATGAGAACTACTTTCTAACCACCACTGTGGTTGAGCATGTTTAGATGCCGATAGAAAACCATTAACTAATGGATGATTAGGTTCAGCAACTTGTATACCAACAACTTCATCACCTGTCGATTTTCCATTATGTCGAACGAAATCGGAAAATGCAACTCCAAGAACGTTTCTTAATGCCCAATCAGTTGTAATTATATGAAGACCATTTTCAACATGTTGTCGTATTCGTCTAGCTGCATCAGTTGGAAAATCTGTGGAACAATTTATATAAACTGTTTGATCATTACGAAATGGATAAGTTAATATTTCATTCTGATTAACAGTTGTAAATTTTATATTTAAACTATTAAGGACACGATCGATATGATCATATGTACCTGGTACAACAATAACTGAATCTGCAGACATATTTTTTATTGCTTGTTGATCAGATTGACTCAGTGCTTCAAGAGCTAAAGTTGCTCCAATACGATAAGCATTTTCCATATCATTACTAGTATTACATGCATGAAAACTAGACGTAGATTTTAAATTCAATGATTGAGATGAAGCGGTTGTATTTAGATGACTAAAGCGTTTACAATGATTTGAATCCGATTGATTACGACATGTACTACCGTATCTACAAGCTTGTTGATTAAATTCAAATTGATTATTATTATTATTACTTGTTGTATTCGATTTCAAATCTGAATAGAATAAAATAAATGAATTTTTATTAGTAGTCTTATATATTTACTTGAAGTATTTTCATAGAAATTTGAAGGATGTTTATATTTTTTTAAATGTTCTACTGATCGATCTCTACATTGATCTTGATGTCTGCACGGTAACAGATAGTCTGGTAGACCTTCATGTCGATAAAGACTACGATGTTCAGGATTTGTTAATTTAGTACAATTCTCATTACCATATTTACATAGAATAGCTTGGTGTGGAGCATGTGTGAAATGACGTGCATGTTCACTATCTCTATTCATATCACGACATAATTCCGACCAACGACAAGGATGAGAATAGGATGCATTATGTTCAGTTGCATTATCATATTGTAATTGACAATCATAACCATCTTTACAAGGTAAGAAGTTTTTATGACTTGTCGAAGTATTTCTAGAAACTCTAAAAAGAATTTATCGCATCAATTCTTCGTTGTATTAATTTACCGGCTTTGTTGCATTGTTGCAAATGATTAGAGTGTATGATGAAATTTATTTAAAAGGAAAAAAACCAACTAAAATGAAAGAATACTACCTTTTTTCATTGTCAGATGAAAATAGAACGGTAGTAGAAAAGGAAGAAGAATAAAAAACAAGACACGTTATTTCAAAGTTAAATTCATAGTAATAAAAGAATTAAAAATACAACATAATATTGTTAGATGTTTTTTTCTATTTTAATGTCAAGTGGTTATTTTTATCTGAAAAGAAAATATTATCAACAAGAGTAGCTATTACTTCACAAGCATAAACGAGATAAGAAACGAATATGTTGCTTTCTTTTGATTGCAGAAGAATATCTCGAATAAAATTTTGAAAATATAATGATTTCAAACTTTCTATTTTGAATTATGTTTGTATCTATTGATAATCATCATTCGTATTAACCAAAGCAATCGATATAAATAAAAATAAGTGCTCAATACCAATGGGTTCGTCAGCAACAAGAAACTCCCCAGGGATTTCGCTGGGGATAGTCGACTATGTTAGTACTAGTATAGGACAGTGTTATATGTAATAATATATTATAGTATGACTGATCTTGTTCTGTCAACAAAAAAGTTAGAAAATGTGACTAAAACGACTCGTACTCACTATTCTCTACGTGCCATAGATTTCGGTGAACTCAAGCAAACGAATTCTATCAGATCTTATTCAATAGTGGGTGATTGATAGAACATGATGAAATGTCATTTGATAGTTTAGTACGCATCACTTTTGTAATTCTATCATTCAAAGGAAACGGTTTATTTAGATTCTAACTATAACTATGCGCCTTTTATAATTATTATTTATTTTGAAATGACTTTAAAAAATTCATCGAAAAATCGAACGAAAATACAAAAAAATTCTAAATCAAATTTAAGTAGAAAAAGTATTTCTTCATCAACTAATCTTCAATATACTGTTAAATTAACTAAGCAAGCTTATGAAGAACGAGAACAAAAATGTTCATATAAAGATTATCTTGCTTTAATAACACTTGCTGCTTTTAATAGACATGCAATAAAACATATACAAGTAAGAATATCATTATTGACAAGCATATTTTAAAATAATTTTCATCTAGATAGATAAATATAAAACAAATACTCAAATTGAAATGGAATTACTTAAACGATGGAATAAATTACCATTAGAAGATCAAAATAAATATGAAAATGAAGCGATTGATAATGATATATTTCATCAAATAGCTTATACAAGAATTGATCGAGATGAAATATTCGATGATAAATCATCTTTAACACATCATTTAAGTATACGTAAAGAACTTGAAATACAATGGAATAATTTAGCAGATGATGAAAAAATTGTTCATAAAAGAGTTGTTACTAATCGTGATATAGAAATAAAAAGACTTTTATAAGCAATTGTTTCGTTTTTGTATTGCTCGATTAAAATAACATATCGATATTCATAAATATTGATAGATAATATCATTTCATCAGTGTTTAATACAAACAATGCGCAAATTACTTGAGATCTATAATGAAATTAGTTATATACGATCAACATCAGTTGTTTCATGTGGGTGTTCAATACAATCGGATATAAAAATAATTAATGCACAATCAGCTAATCGAGCAGGATGATTAGCTATGGTTATAAACGTAAACATATATGTGTAGGTACATTTACTACTTCTGAATATGTTCTTACAGCTGCACATTGTCTTTATTCAATCGGTATATCAAATATTGAAATTCGTATTTGTATAACTAATTCAAATGATATTTCATATGAAAATCTTTTCTCTATTCAAAAAGTTATTTTACATAAAGATTGTAATCCTAATACTTATAAAAATGACATAGTATTAATACGATTAGATCGTTCAATTATTCAAATGTTATATCTTCCTCATTTTACATATATATATATATATTAACCAGTGAATAAAACCTTGGGGTTATACAATAGATCCATTCATAAATTCAAATTCAATATTACCATCAAACATTTGTCCCACTCTTATCAATAATAGAAAATGAGAATCATACAAATCTACGTTTCGAACAAGAAATTGATTTTCCTAATCAACAATTTTGTGCTGGTTATCTGATACATGTCAAGCTGCAGTGGCGGATATAGGATTTTGGAAGGGGGGGGGGCGATTTTAGCTAAAAGCTATTTTTTGAGTTCAATCGAAGTAGTGTGAACCTATTTTTTCGTTCAGTTTTGCTGTGAAAAATCAAAACAAATTCGGAAGGGGGGGGGGCGGTCACCCCCATCGCGCCCCCGCCCCCTAAATCCGCCACTGTCAAGCTAATAGTGGATCACCACTAATGTTATTTAATGATCATTGCTAGAACAGGTTGTGCGCAAAAACATTTGCCAAGAGTTTATACACGTGTATCTACTTATCTCGATTGGATTTATGATCAAATTACATATTAAGAAAGAAAGAAAAAAAACACTGTTTATTTATTTGAATATATAAATATAAAAATAAATGGAATATTTTTCTTTTTAAACCCATATACCACTTGGGCATATTTTTAATAAAGTACTATTCATAAGTTGAAGATGAACTGGCATAAGTATACCAGTTGATGATGTTTCATGAAAATGATATGATGTATTAGCAAAATCTATTAAATAGAAATAAAACAAGCATCTGAAATTTGTTTTAATTAATATTATTATAAAGTGATATATATATATACATATAGGCATGCACACAATGTGTAGTATAAGCTAACCTCGTCTAAGTATTGCTTAAATTAATAGCTAAAAATTTATATATGAAATATTATTTTGTTCTAAAAAAACATTTAACCTACTATTTTTGCTTAATAGATCATCAAATTCGATTAATACATCTTCAAATTCAATAATTTGTTTTTGATCTTGTTGAATAATACGTTCAATATCATCATTACGTTGGTTTAATATATATAATAAATCTTCTTGTTGTTTAAAAGAAGAATTTGAACGTTCAAGATCATATTGATATTGAAGAATTTCCTAGGAATATTAAAAAATGGAAGTTTTTTTCAATTTAAACAAGTAGTATGCACGCCATCAGTAGGTCTCTTCACCCTGCGGATCGTTTTACCCCCCCCCCCCCCCCCCAGGTATTTTTTTCTCTAAGGCGAGAGGTCGCCGTGCCCCTAGTGACACTCTTGATTCTGAATTCAATTACAAAATAAATACCTTCTTATCGTTAGTGATAACTGTTTCCATTTGTTGTATTTCTTCATGTATTTGTGAAATATTAAATTGAAGTTGATCTTGTATTTGTCTTTTTTGTTCTAAAGTTGTTGAACAACGTGTTAATTGTTGTTGTAAATGTTCATAATTTGAATGTAATTTCTCATGATATTCTAATTCGAACTCTAATTTATCCGATGAATAATCTTGAGCAATTATTTGACATTCAGAAAAAAGACGTCGATCATGTTCTTCAAGTATCTGTAATTCATGTTGAATACTTTCATGATAGATTTGGGCTTGACGAAGAATAGCTTCGCGATATTCAATTTCTATTTGAACAAAAAACACATATTTAAAAAAAAGAGAGAATTAATTTTTTTCTTAAAACCTTTTTGTTTTTCATTTAGTTCTTGTTGTTGTTGTTCAACTTGAATTTCTTGTGCTTTAAGTATTTGTAATAATGCAATATATTGTTGTTGTTGTTGATGTTGAATACCTGTATGGTTACTGTTTGGATTATGAACAATATGAAATGCACTATTTTCACTTAATGTTGATGGTGGTATAGCAGATTTCGGTCGTGAATATTGAATAGATTGATGACGATTTTCTTGGATAGGTGTACGTGATAAACGTTGACGTGTAGGAAGAGATGGTGATAAATCAATTAGATTAATATTATTATTGCTATTATTTGTATTGATTGATGGAAATAATTGATGAATATTTGAACGTTTCTTATTATTCGATGATAATGTAGCAAACGCATTATTTTGTACTGTTCGAAAGTAATTCGATGATGATGATGGCGATGAGGTAACAGGTGAAAGCACTAACATAAAAAGAAAATATCTTCTCTTAAAGTGCAAGGTATATTTGATCTTTGTTCATTTTATATCACTGTTTACTTTCATCATCCTAGGTCATTAACCTTCTCTCTCATCCTTATCTTTTGCTTGTTTTAAACTTTACATTGTATATAGTGACTATATATAGATATAGATATAGATATATGTACGATCGATGTGTCAAGGTATACATTGTTGTCGTCTATAGTTAGTGACTCTTTTTTTTTGAGGTTGATCAAAAAGAAAAAAACGAGAAGTTTTAATTGTATCCGATTAAATATATAATTGAAGATTTTTTTTCTACGAGAATTTGATATATGTCATGAAAAATTACATCATAGTTGTTTTTTTTGTTTTAAGAGTAGCAAGTAAACGACAATAGATTTTGTAAACTAAACTAATCTTTATAATGGACACGCAAGCGCCAAGCCGATTAGACCTTAGGTGCTTGATATTAACTTCATTCTTCTTTTGTCTAGAACGTGTTATTCAAACGATAAATACATAGTGTCTATGTATGTTGTTCGATGCTAAGTGATCTACATATGTATACATATGTACTTACATGTTCATAATACCGCCTATTTATCGAAAAACGATCTCGGGTAGTTTTAAAATAATAGAACTACCTTGAGCTTTCACATGATAGAGAAAGAAAAAATAGAATATTAAATCGATCATAGTAAATGGAGATATTTAAAATATTATTTTTTTTTGTCCGAAAAAATTAATCGATTTTTACTTTAAGAAATAAATGAAAATACATATACAATTATATTTGCCTGACATGTCATAAAAATATGATTCTCAGTGAGACGTATTATCAGCGAAGGTCGTGTATATACATCGTCTATATTTTATAGAGTAATAAAATCTATTCACATACTGTCAAAAAATGTCTGCTGCTGTTGTTGTTGTTGTTGTTCTTGTTCTTGTTGTATTGATGGTTTTCGTTCATCTAAACTTTTCGAACGTTTTTCACCATTTGATTGATTTTTATTTGATGGATTTTGTCGTAAAATATAAGCCCAATCGGGATGATGAATAAGTTCACAAGTTAATTCATTAGGTGACAATGTTCTTTGTGTACCATCTGGTGCACGTTGGATTAATGAATATCTGCCTGCTTTACCTTTATATTGAGCTAGTGCAATAATGATATCATGTACAGTAGTTGTTCGAGTCAAATCACAGATGATGCGCGCAACACCATCAACATACACTCGAAGGTCCATACTGGAGCATCGCGAGCTGTTTTACAATAAAGTAAAAAAAAATGCAAGAGAGAGAATGAGAGAGAGAGACAGAGAGAAAGAACAGAACATATGCAACAAATTTTACAATCAATCAACGGTGATCGTCGTTGTCGCTGCTGCCGAACGAACGCAAAGAAAAGGGAAGAGACTCGCTTTTGAGCAAATAAAAGAAAAGAAGAAACAAAATCAGATAAGAATAGGCGAATATATAACTCAATATATATACATATATTCAAGCTTGCCAATGACCATTCAATCAATGACAAATGAGACATATCATACGAACTATTATCTTCAGTTATATACATATACATATATGTATATATTTATATATATATATGTATATATGTACGTGTATAGAATGAAATATTAACGAGATGCATTTAAAGAAGAAAACGAAAATTGACCTGTCATATAATTCAATAGTGAGAATACTGGAAATCAAATTTAAAAAAAAAGCATACTTCATTAAAAGTTAAATTTCACGTTTTTTTTCTTCTTAATTCTATCTTGTATATTCATTATAAATATGACAATTGACAGTTTTTAAGTATTATTTTAATACTTATTTGTTTTTCTTTCGAATAAATCAATGTACTACAATTACATAATCAGATATCTTCTATAGAAATACCTGTTAATATTTGAAGGATTATATATGGTAATTGTCAAACATTTAACAAGTAATCAGAAAATGACCTTATAAGAAAAGCTGTTATATATTCATAGAGTATGTCATCAAATACTTTGAAATCAATTAAGCAAAGAAAAAAAAAGGTATGATGTGATGTTGTAGAATATTTGCTTAGATAACAAATAAAAAATAAAAATTATAATTGATTGTATTTTTCTATCAAGATAAATTTTTATTACGATAATAAAAAATTTCTCGTTTTTTTGTTGTTCATAAAATGATTGATATCTTTGTCTCAACGATAATATAATTTGTAAATGTTGAGTATTTTTTTTTCGTGTGAAAGATTTAGAAATAACTAACTGTAAAATTAGTGATAATTTAATTTGACCTTGATTAAACATTTGTACTTATATAGATATTTATCAATACAAATAAAATGCTTGAGAGCATATGATATAATTATCAATTTCATTCAAATTATAGACGTTCATTGTGAATTGTATTCTTTTTTCTGTACCTATTGACTTCTGATGCTATTAGTTAGTTAATATAAAAAATATTTTTTTGTATATTGTATCTTATTACTCAGACGATCTGTCAATAATGTGTAGGCGAGAAAAACCTTGTAATTTAATTCAGCTGCAATTTTTTACAGATTAAATTATTTGAGCAATGAACTATATGATATTTTCATTTATTATGGCCGATTAACTGATACTATAAATTATATTCTCTATGCTGTCAAAATCAACATTTGCTAAGCGACCAACAAAAAATTTTATATTGTTGCTTATTAATCAAAATATAAATAAAATACTCATACTTATATTTGTACTATCAAAGATATCCAAATAAAGTACAAAACAAGAAAAAAACAATACAATTTTGCCTGTTTCTTTTTCATACATCAGATTCATATGTCCGTTGATGTTGATTTTGTATATCGTTCATTTCATTATCATCTTCGATACTTAAGATCATTCGTGGTTTTAATTTGTCATTATAAAATGCTAATGTTCGATCAAGATTGTTATCAAGAAAAAATAATGTTTTTAAACCATCAACACTAAGTACACGAATATATATTGGATGATCAAAAGGAATTCCAGTCAGCTGACGAAGTTTAATCTATTTTTAAAAAATAAAAATGAACTATAACATAAAAATATTGTTTTCACACGTACATACCAATAGTTCTTTGATAGTTATTGTTTGAAGAATATCGCATAATTCATTAAAAAGTCCATTATATTGAACAAATAGACTGATGGTAGGCACTGGCATACTAAATATAGCTTTTGAAGATGAACTATGACCTGACTGTAGCTGAATAGAAAATAAAATTTTTGATAAAATAAAATAATATTTTCTAGAAAAATCAATTACTAGATGAAGTTTCTCTCTAATTTCTTGTAATTCACGACGTGTTTTTACAAGTTCGTCAACTATAGAAATCATTTTTTGTTCCTAAAATAAAATCGTTATTATGTGAATAATCTATTGGACATTTAACTTACATGTTTTTTTCTATAATCATTCATTACAATCTTTAACATTCCTTTAAAAGTCATAATTGTTTTGGTGAATAAAAGAAACTAGAAGTTAAGCATACTGATACTGTCTTATAAATGTTAGCAGGAAGAAAATAAAAGTCATGCTATATGATGAATCCAAGAGGAGAAAAAAAAGCCTTTCTCATTTTCTTTTCTTTTCTTTTTCTTCCAGGTTTCGTCATGAAGATAAATAAGAACATAAGAAGGGTTCTGACATAAAATCAATTTAGTCTCTATTACAACAATTAAATAATAAGTATTTTTTTGTCCTTAATATTATTCGAAACATAGTAGCAGGTGGTATTAAGTAAAACATAGGATCTTGTAAAGTCTATCGAATAAATCAATGTAAGCTATATTTATATCACATTATAGAATATATTCATATGAGATTAATTATATACTATATAGAATGTAACCTTATATTCAAACGCTATTTATAAAAGAACAAATTCAATTTCAACTCATGATTAATAACGAAAATATTTACTAAAACAATAAAATTATTTTGTTCTTATTGTTTTTTCAATGACTAAATGTATTATTATATTACCAGAAAAACAACAAGATTATACATGACTTTCAAATATTTCTTCGATATCTTTATGATCTTTTCATTGTTATGACATCATAGAAGTTTTTTAAGATAAAAATTTTTATTTGAATATATATGAAATAAAATTTTCTAGCAAATGTTATTTTAAAGCAAAGAAACTACAGAGAAGGTAGTCCAAAATATTCATTTATTGAACTATACACCCGTTGTGGTTTTGCTTGTGTATTTAATCGTTGAATTTCAGCAGATGGATAAAGAAATTCTTTCAAATTATCTTGTTGAGCTAATTTTTCTAACATAAAAGCCGCTGCTTCCACCATTCTTTCATACGCAAATACATTTATATTTTGAATCGAATCACAAGCTTGATGATAACATGGATCTTCGATGGCACCGGCAACACCACCCATTCCTTGTCCAAGCATTTGATCATAACGATCACGTTGTTCAAAGGATTTTCTTTCGTCTGCACCAGAAAATAAACCACCAGCAACTATACCTTTAGCTAAGAAAGGACCGTAATCACTTCGACCACTAAAATCAGTATAGTCCCATGGTAACTTTTGTGAAATAAACCAATCACGAAAGAGAGCAGTGATTTTATTACTTCCTGGAAGAGCTTGAGGAGGTGTATTAGGATTTGCTGATTTACCATCATAAATACCAAAGATATAATTAGGTGATCCAAGCATATCATAGTTAAGATTAATTAAATAATCTTGAAGTCGTTCACCAACTGCTGTAGCAATATCTGCTTGTTTAACATGAAAATCAGAACCAAGAAGACCCACTTCTTCTGCACCCCACCAACAAAATCGAACACGGTATTTATATTTAGGATAAGTAGATGTTTGAAAAAGTTTAGCTAAAGCTATAGCAAGACCAAGATTAGCTGCACTACCACTACCTGAAAGATAGACAAGATATATAGATTATTTGATGTGAATAAGTTACCGTTATCATTAATACCAGGACCAGCAGGAACACTATCACTATGACTTCCAATAACAATAGTTTGAGTAGCATCACCTGTAGGTGTATCAGCACAAATATTACCAACAGGATATCTTGATTCATCAGCCATAGTAATAATAAGTCGGACGCCAACATTTTTTGATAGATCTTGAGCGGCATCAGCAAGTTCTTGACCAAGAGTGTAAGAAAGAAAAAGTGCTGGTATTTCATTATCTTGACCAAGATTAGTAACTATGGGTGCTACGTTACCAGCTACTGTACCATCATTATATGTTAGAAGAGCAGTAGCATTGTATTTTGTAGCCAATAAAGCTTTTTCAATAAAACTACAATTACCTCGTTTAACTAATGCTACGCGACCAATAACAGAAGGAGTTACAGAAGTCCAATCACTATCACTACATCCCAGATTTGGAATAACAGTAATTGGAATATAACTAGCAAAATTAGCTGATCTTGTATATTGAACAATAGCAAATTCTGATGCTGAAAGAGTAGTTGAATATGTACGATTTCTTTCAACACCACCAATCGATGTTAATAAAATAGGATTTCCAGCAGGAACAAAGTTTCTTAAATAAAAAAAACTTTTTTGTAGTCTAAAATTTGTATTTAGTGTAAGAGAATTATAAATGTAATCAAGTGTTTGATTAAAACCACGTGTATTAATAGCTCGATTACCATTTGCACCAGTTGCTATCGTTTGTAATTCATTAAGATGTTTCATTACATCCGAAATTTGAATTGATTCAACATATGTAGAATTGAATGATGGTGAACTTGTTGTTGTTGCTGTTGTTGTTGCTGTTGTTGTTGTTATTGTTGGTGGTGGTGGTGGTGTTATTGTTGTTGTTATGGTTGATGTTGGTGTTATTATCGTTGTTGTTTCTTTTAATCGACTACTGACAATAGCCAATGTAGCTGCAGCAAGACCAACACTAACAAGTATTAAAACAATTCCAGCTAAGATCGCACATAATAAAACCTTAGCACTTCTCTCCATTGAAAATGTAATATTGTTTTGAATATCAGCAGTCACTGTTTCTTTTGAAACTCAATTTCTATTCATACAAATGAGAGCTTCTTATGAAAAATTGTCCCACATAAATACTGAAGAATTTATCATTGATGTTTCTTTATCAGATAATATAAAGTATAGAATTATTGCTTTGTTGTTCTCTTTCAATACGTTTATTATGGTCAATTACTTCAGTTAAGTATTCTTCAGTATAAATAATGTTCTTATTAAACCTTGAAACTGTTGCTATAAAATAATTACAAATTTTTATATACAAAAAAAAGAAGCTTGAAATGTTTATGATGATCCTTTGTGATCATATAAAAAAATATATTCAAGTTTTATCAGTAATAATACTTTTATCAAGTTATTTGAATTTGTGTAGTCATTATAATTGAATTGAAGAAAAGTAACTAAGGTGATAATCGATGTATCAATACTGTTTAAAAGAAAGTTAAAGTTAATGATGGTATACATAGAGAATAGCTCGATGCGTTTTATACTGCATAGAATGATAAAGTAGAAAAACTATTAACATTCTTGTCTTTTTTCACTTAAATCGTATTTCTGCATGGTGTAATTTTTTTACGAAAGAATTAATATATATATATATTTGAATCAAGACAAATACCTCTCTGATTTAAGTATACGAACTAACGATATATCTTGTTCTATAATTTGATATACTTTATTTTGTAAAAAACAGTCTATAGCCGTTATATACATTGTCTTCAAATGATTATGTATCTCTTTCAAATTGTCTTACAAATGATTTTTACATAAACGTTATATTTTTTACTTTAGAAGAAATGTTGAATAAAACGATTTAAAAACAAAGAGTGCTATAAATAAGAATTAATAATACATGATAGTATTATTGTGAAAAATCATGTATTCAATCACGATTGAATGACGTTAAAGAGTGTTTTGTTGTATTCTTTTTCTAGTTGTTTGTCATTTTTGAAAACTCTTTTTTGATTGGTAACATATTCTATCAATATGATACAAAAATATAAATAGTCAATATCGAAAACGTCAAGCCTATCAGAAAAAAAATATTTTTATAATAAAGAATGATTTATTTCAACTAATATATCCAAAGTAAATTATAAAAGTTCATATAAATATTATTTTATTTTATTATTAAGATGCTATAAAATATTATTGTTTGACCAATAATATAAAAGATAAAGCATTATATGAACACATTTGTCATTCTTATAATCATTATTTGTACGTAATAAATCTTTAAATGAGACATAATTTTGACCAGAAATTACATTGAATTGTAAAGTCACGACATAACCCTAGAATAAAATCACTAAATAAGAAATTATACAAAACTAAGCTTATTTGAGTTGTACTACAATTAATAATTGTAGATGTTGTTGGATTTACACACATTGACGTTATTGTACTATTGCACTGATACCTATTAAAAAATGTATCACTAGAAAAAAAAGAAAAATTTCTTTACTCACTTAAATAAAATGTTTAATTTCATTCGATTCATAATAACTAATTCATTATCGTATACAACAATACAGTTGTGTGTCGTAAATTTTAAATATTTAATAAACTAAAACAAATATTTATTATTTTAGAATATGGTTTTTATATTAGAAACGAACTTGTTCAGTTGAATACGGTTTAACAGCTTCTTCAATCTCCCAATTAACCCAGGTCAAAAAATCCGACCCGGAACTGATCGGTTCCCACATCTTCCAACAACTTCCTGACGCAGTATTCCAGATCGGAATTCATCGGAAAATTTCCCTTGGTTTCCCATCATATCCAAATGGAAAATAGTGGTAATACTCGGAAAAAAATCCAACACTTTCCCTATAATATCCGACACCCGGAACCCCAAAGGAAAACCATAGGTTCCCAAACATTTTCCAACTATTCAGTTTCGACAATTTCCGCGTTTAATCCGATATTCATTACCTCTACAAAAGAAAACGAATCCTCGTCACTATGCTTAAATACTTCAATTGTACACATATAATTTCAACAGAAACAGTTATACCTAGGCAGCCTAAGTATTGATGAGAATTGAAACCCCAACTCTAATCCGATAAGTAATCCTCCAGTCATTCCCCGCAACAGAACTCAGCTACGTATCAAAACAACATTTTCATCTCCAAGATTTTTGAGCGGATTATAATCGGATTAGTAATCCTGCATGTAAATATGAAATTGGGTGCTCTCCAAGAAGGGGCACTTATCACGAGGGTTTTTGAGTGGATTATAATCCGCTCAAAAATCCTGAAGCAAAATAGGAATTTTAAACTTTGTTTTTTTTTTCTGATGTTGAAGACTAGTAGCGGGATTATAAGCAGCTGAAAAAGTGTTGATTGAAAAAGACAAAATAAATCACGTTTTGAAATGGTGGATTTTTTTGGATGTTGGAGCCAAGGATAGTCTGCTTGTTCATCGAATCGAAATAAAAAA